TCCTTGCTCATTTGTTTTCAGTCTATTTTCTCTCTGCTGTTCAAACTGAGTGACTTATTTTCTATTTTCAAGTTCACTGATTACTTCCCATTTCTTCATTATGACATTGAGCCCATACACTAAATTTTTTATTACCATATTATATTTTTAGCTTCTAAAATTTTCATTTGGTCTTTTTTTTATATATATAATCTATTTCTTTCATAAGAAATAGATTCTATTTCTATTCTTTTGCAGAGATTTTCTTTTTTTTTTCCATTTGTTTCAAGTGTGTCCATAATTGCTGTTACAGCATTTTTATGATGGAAGCTTTAAAATCCTTGTCATAGAATTCAAACATTGGTGTCAGTTCAGTGTTAGCTTCTGTTTATTATCTTTTTTTCCGCTCAAGACGAGATTTTCTTGGTTCTTTTTATGAGTAGTGATTTTCAATTGAAATGGATATTTTAAATCTTGTTTTAGCAGACTTCCTCTGATAAGATACTACTCCAACAGGGCAAGAGAGGAACAGCCGGGTACTAAGTCCAGGTTCCTGATTCATTCTACACTGACACTCAGGGCAGGGGGAACAAGAATCTCCTCATTATTGCTAGACATGGTTGGGAGTTCAGCTTTACACAAAGCCTTCACCAATGTCACTGTAGCCTGGGGAAGCAGAGGGCCACCTTCTTGACCCAAATAACCTTCACTGACACTTCAGAGGGCTGACCTTATTGCCACTGAGCAATAATGAAGACCCTGACTTTCCATTAAACATCTGTTGATACCTTGATAGTACAGAAAGTGTCTCACTACCATCAGGGTGAGGTGGAAGTCTAGGCTTCCTACATGGCCTTCCCTGACACTCAGGGAGGAGAGGATTTATTGCCCAATAGGACCGAAAATCCATGTTTCTCAGTCAGCCTTCTTTGAAATTAAGGAAAAAATAAATTCAAAGAGAATTCATACAACTTCTGTTAGCAATAGTAGTAAGACATTGTATTTTCGTTTGTTTTTGAGATATCTGTTGTTTTTGAGTGAAGAGGAAAGTTACCTCACTGTAACCTGGTGAGGGTGAAAGTCTACATTCCTTAACCAGCCTTTGTTGGCAGGGCTGTGGGTGGGGTCACATTTTCTTCTATGGTATTTGGTAGGAGTAGAATGTTTATTATCTAATGCTTTACGGTCTTACTACCTGGAAGCTTTCCTGATCTTCTGGACAGAGACAGCAGCCTTTTCTTGGGATTTGTTATCTGTGCCCATTTGGTATTTCTGGGTTGCTCATTTCTCTAGCACCTAATGGGCAAATAGGGAAGAAGAAAATCCAGGAAACCACTGTCATATATAGTTACCTGGATCCCAAAGTCCTAGGTAGTCTGCCTTCTTTTAGGATTTTATGACTGTTTTATAAAAATAATGTCCAGGGAATTTTTTTTCAGCTGTACTAATAGGAAAAATAGGGGGGAAAATGTCTACTTCACATTTCTGGAAGGAAAAGCTAATGTAAAAATAATGCATCTTCCTGTACATTGATTTGTAAGCTTTTATCATTTTTGTTTTACTTCATTTGTATTTTTCACAATCTTTTCTAATGATTTTTTTTTCAAATTCCTCAACAATGTCTCAAATCAAATTGGAGGGAGAAAAAAAAATGACTCAAAACATCTAGTCCAAGATAACCAAGCAGAAGAGTGTAAGATCCCTAAAAGCTAGTAATGGCAGTAAAAAAGTACAGATTTCTCTAGTCCAGTTGCATATTTGAGTAAACATCTGCATGGGAAGGAGAGGTAGAAGTCAAAGTATCAAGGGAAGCTATGGTTTTCAGTCACTTACTACCTATATATGGTTGATGCATGGTCACGGGTGGGTGTGTAAATATATATTCCATTGGACCAAGGATACAGCTATTTTCTTCAGTGCTATATCCACATCGGTCCTGGCATAAAGAAGGAAATCAAGGTTTCTTGAATTAAGGAAAGAATAAATTCAAAGAGAATGTTCATACAACTTCTGTTAGCAATAATAATTAGAAGTTGTATTTTTGTTTGTTTTTGAGTTATCTAGATATTAATTATCAAAATGTTTATATAACAAAATGGAGCTTTAAAAGGTATCAATAAAAAGTAAGTTACTGTCTAAAAAAGAGACACATAATAAAATAATTATAGGAAGTTCTCATGCTTGACTTTCAAATGGAAAAAAAATATTGTTTCTTTTCCTGTTCCATAATGGGTCACAAATCAACATTTAAATTATAAAGATATCTAATCTATGAGGAAAACATCTATTTTTCCTATCTGGATTACTTTATTTTTCCCAATATTACTTTGAAGTTGATTCTCTATATGTTTTCAGAGCATGCTGGTTGTAAAATGTTATACAATAATTAACATATCAGATCTTATTTTTTATCACAGTACTATAACATCATTGTACAAAATATGAAGCTCATCAATAAATCGATATGGATAGCTATATGAAATGTATTTACCCAAAGTTCCCTGCCACAAAAGCTATCTAGTTTCTATATTAACTGGCAATAAGTATATGACATATTAAATATAACTGTGTAGGCTACTTGACCTGATTCCTAATCCTCTTTTTTTTTTTTTTTTTTAAGATTTTATTTATTTATTCATGAGAGAGAGGCAGAGACACAGGCAGAGGGAGAAGCAGGCTCCATGAAGGAAGCCTGACATGGGACTCAATCTCAGAACTCCAGGATCATGCCCTGGGTTGAAGGCAGGTGCTAAACCACTGAGCCACCCAGGGATCCCCCTGATTCCTAATCCTCTTAAGCAAATTATGATACCTAATGCCTGAGACTTTTAAATCCCCTCCAAGTGGGCATCAAATAATGATACTAGACAAAGAACAGGAGAAACGAGTAGCTCTCAACCAAGTTTCTCCAAATCACTATTTGTAAAATGTATTTGCAAAATTCTCACTAATGTTTTTAACTTCATTAGCTGTCAGTATTGAAAAAATACACACCAAACATGTTTTCAGCATATGAAATATGTGGAGCTAGAATCAAAAAGGATTTAAAATATCAAACACCAAGTTGTTCAGAAAAACACAAATTCAAACACAATGTAAATGCTTTCAAAATATTTAATTTAGATTCATAAATAAAAATATATAAAATACAAATTTACCCAAGAAAATACCACTTAATACCCCAGAAGTATATAAATTCCAGTTTCTTAATTCTTCCCACCTTTAGCCTAGGGGGGAAAAAAAAAGATGATAGTTCAAAACAGTCCTATACTTTTACCCAATTCAGTAACTGTAAAGCTGGTTTATATTAGTAGAGCTAAAAATTCACAATATTATAAAAAGAGTCAATAATCACAGCTGCAAAATCTTGACATTTTTTTAATGACCATATCAACAATGGCACTGGTTTCTATATTGGGCGTGGTCACAAAAATGACCTTTCATGTTCCAACACGTATCTACTGGATTATTTACCTTGGGATTTAAAAAAAAAAAAAAAGTACTTTCAGTTAAATTAATTCTGGATCTACTTGTTTTATACTTTTATCCAAATTATTTATCACAAGAAGCATTTTGACATTAAATTATTAGCTACTTAAATTGAAATTAATTTCTACTAAGCCCAAGGATGAAGTTTGATCAACAATAAAAAATTTCTGTATTCTACATGTGGTAGAAGGATTTAAAAAAAAAAAAAACTTATTGTAGTAATGAATAACCAAAAACAAACTAAATGCTTATCTATACAGGTATAATTAAACCAATTATGCATACACACACACACACACACACACACTGTGGAATACTATAGAACAAAAAATAAGTTCATACATACTGATACTAAAATACACGTCATACTGAATAAATACAGAAACAACAGATTGAGTGGAATAACATTTTCTGTAAAAACAAAGCAAAAAATTATATAATATGGTATTAGCATACATACATATACAAATACGGAGAAAAATCTCTACAAGGACGCACATCAAACTGCTAACAGTGGTTACCTTTGGGGAGAATTGTTTGAATTTAATTTCAACAAGAATGTATTCCTCTATTATTTGTGGGGAAAAAATGATCTAACATGAAATTTATGGGGAAAATATTTTTTTTTTGAACATGAAAGTAAAATCTCTCTTTTCAAGGGATCCCTGGGTGGCTCAGTGGTTTAGCACCTGCCTTTGGCCCAGGGCGCAATCCTGGAGTCCTGGGATCAAGTACCGCATCGGGCTCCCAGCATGGGGCCTGCTTCTCCCTCTGCCTGTGTCTCTGCCTCTCTGCCTCTCTCTATATATATGTCTATCATGAATAAATAAATAAAATATTTTTCAAAAAATCTCCCTTTTCAGTTATTTCCCACCAATAAGAGAAAGTTAGCTTCACAGTATTGGTCTTGACCAGGAGGCAAATTTACAACCATCAGGTACAACTGGACTTTTTAAAGTTCAGGGTATCTTGAAAGTTGTAACACACCAGTTCTCAGTTTGCTTTTTTTTTTTTTTTTTTTTTTCAGTTTGCTTTAAAGGATTAAGCTTATGCAGACATACAATCAATGAATAATGCTGTGTATGTCCCTAATATTGACATTTATCATGATTTGTAACAATATAAACAGTATTTTTTAACCCCCTTTACCTACAATATTTTTCAGATTAATAATCATACCTTTTTTTCTAAAGAGGTAGAACCACAGAAAGATAAATCTAGTCTAGCAGTTAATTCTATAGAATTTGTTCTTGAACTTCTTCAGCTGAAAATCCTATATTCATAAACATTCTACAACTTCTCCAATGCAGAGCAACATCTAGCATTACTTTTGTAATCTATTATGTTTTCAGCAAACACTCATCAGTCAATTGAAAAGAATACTGTACCAAAATAAGACTACTGTCATTCTATAATTTGCATAGGCTAGCATATGCAGATATGTATCAATTCTTTTTCTAAAGTAAGAGAAAAAAATAAATAAATAAAGACAGAGTTTAAAAGACAGAGAAGGCAGACTCCCAAACCTCTACCTTATATTCATCCACAATAATGCTGAGAGCTTCGTGACCAGCTTTCCTCATGTCTTCCAATTCTTGTTTATGTTTTTCCTGAAAAACAGAAACAAAAAATTAAACTATGGTTTGTTCTCTTGTTTACAAAATAAGACCACTGACTCTTGCATCCATGAACCCTTAAGTGGTGTGTGGCACACTAGTGCTATAGCAAAAAACAATTAGGAAAAAATAAAGTTCCATTTAAAAGCATTAAGGAGGACATTGTGTCAACAATGGAAAACAATAACTGTGAGAGGAAAACCATACTGAGAGGTGAGATAACACAAGGGTTATCTCTTGGGGCATATGGCAATTCTGCACCTGGATTAAGACCTAAGAAGGACTGTGTTACTTCAATAAGCTCAGGCCTCTTTATATATTTTTATTAGTTCTCCAGTAATATACAGATACCAATAGTTTAGTACATAACAAAGTTGGAGAACCACTGGATTCAGGTGACCAACTCCCCAATTCTATCTTCCTAGCAAAGGGACGGATGAACTCTCTTTGGAGAATGTTCACATCCTGTAGAGCCTTTCTAATTTTTCAAACATTCTGTACAGGTTTCAATACAAAAGTACCAGAGCTGACAACAGATGAGAACAAAACACAGAAAAGACAAAAGGAATAGATAGGCTCATGAATGATTTAGATGTTAGTTATCAAAGAGTTTAAAATACATTATGATTCAGGGACACAGTTGGTTAAGCATCTGACTCTTGGCTTCAACTCAGATCATGATCTCAGTGTTGTGAGATCGAGCCCCAGGTTGGGCTCTGTGCTCAGCGCAATTTGTTTGGGATTCTCTCTCCCTGTCCCTCTGCCCCTGCTGTTTGTGCTTGCTATCTCTCTCTCTCTCTCTCTCTCTCTCTCTCTCTCTCTCTCAAATAAATAAATCTTTAAAAAAAATATGTATGATTCATACGTTCAAGAAAGTAGAGAAAAAATGAAAATAGGATATAAATTTTCATCATAGAACTAGAATTCATGAGAGAAACTTTACAGCTGAGAAATATACACTATTAATAACTCAACAGATGAGTAAACAAATGAAACACAGCAGAAAGCCCAATTAGATAAACAAAATTTGGGGGGGGGGGGGGGCAGGGAGATTGCAGTGAAAAGAGGAATAAAACTATGCAAAATACAAAAAGAAAATCTAAAAAGACATGGAACAGAGTAAAAAGATTAAATAAACATGTAACAAAAGGATCTTTAAAAAAATCCAAAATAAGAGAAAAAATGAAATGTATTAAGATCATAAAAATAAAATAATTGAAGCAAAATAAAAATGCAAAATTACGTCTTACACAAATTAGGATATTACATTACTCTACATCTATTTCTAAAAAAAAAAAAAATAATAAGGACATTATAAAATACACCCCCAAAAGTGAAATTTTGTGTAAAATAAAAAACAACTCCTAGGAAAAAGCACAACTTATCAAAATTTTTAAAAGATGAAACAAAAAGTCTTAATAGTCCTATTTGTATAAGAGAAATTGAATTTATTAATTAAAAAAAAAAAACTTCTAACCAAGAAATTTCTAAGCTTAGATGACCTAACAGGTGATTTTTAATAAACATTAAAGAAAGAAATAAGAGAAATCTTATACAAACTCTTCCAGAGAATAGGAAATGAGGGAATACTTCCCCACATATTTTATTAGGACAGTATATCCCTTATACTTAACTTTGCAAAGATATTTAAAAGAAAACAAAACTATGAAGCACTCTTTTACAAGTATAGAAACAAATTCTAAACAAAGTATTAGCTTTGTTTAGACTCAGTTATTAGCTAACTGAGTCTAGCAATATATAAACAGAATAACATAATCAAGTGGGATTTATTTTAGGAATATTGGGTTGGGAGAAGTAATATATATTATTTCAGGCTTGAGTCACAAAACTCCTCCAAAATCTTCCACACACTCCTTTTCTTCCCCTACTTGCTTGCTGAATGCCAACAGCCAAGATGACAATGAAAGCCAGGCTCTGCAGAGGGCACAGCCTCTGTCAGCTTGAAACCTTGAATGACTGCAAGGAATGACTGTATCATGACCCTAAAAGACTTTAAGGGAAAATTAAACTTCAACTATATTTAGGATAAAAGATACCAATAATTTTTGTCCATTAACTGCTTCCACTTATTCATCATCTCCTGTCATTTATTAGACCTTACTGACTTAACAGTTTCTATTTCATTATTAACATTTAATTTCCCTTTCTTGTATATGCCTCTATATATCTTAGTATGGCTAAGTCACTATTTCCCAAAGTTGTCTTAATATAAAAGATCACCAAGAGCACTTGTTAAAAATATGGATTTTTGTTAGCATAGTTATGAATATCTATGGCTGATGGCAGCAATCTTTCTTTTTTTTTTTTTTTTAAATTTTTTTTTTTTTAATTTATTTATGATAGTCACAGAGAGAGAGAGAGAGGGGCAGAGACACAGGCAGAGGGAGAAGCAGGCTCCATGCACCGGGAGCCCGACGTGGGATTCGATCCCGGGTCTCCAGGATCGCGCCCTGGGCCAAAGGCAGGCGCCAAACCGCTGCGCCACCCAGGGATCCCCGGCAGCAATCTTTCTAAAGTCATTTTTCCATTTCTCTGAGAGTTGTTTCAGTAAAAAGTAAGTAACATAATAGTCCAATTACCTGGTTAGGCAAGTTATGTACTCTATTACGTTAAAAACAAAGAAACAAATAAGGACATCACTATCAACTCATCACTTTGGATCTCCCATTCATGTCTGGTTATCTCACAAAAATATGTGACTGTTTCATATAGGGATCCTGATCCTAGGGAGGGCAACCCGTGTGCTAAATATTACCATAGTTTTTCTCTTTTCGAGATTATAAAATATGTAAATAGAAATAGGTATTCTACAATCTTCTTTCCATATCATAATGGATCATCTCAGGCAGTTCTTGGGATGCATATGTTCCACCTTCAAGCCAGTGATATATAAGAATCTCATATAAAATCAGCAAGTCAAACTATGAACATTAACAATATGTATTAACATATTAAAACTCAGACAAATTCAGAAAGAAATATGTTGAACTTTACTAAAACCAGCATTTTCCACACTTAACTAAACAAATACTAATTTACTTTTTTTCTATCTTGACAATACCTAGTAGTAAGTAATCTCTTCAGTTTAGAATTGAGGAAACAGAACCAAAAAGGTCAAAAAGCTACTCAGAATTAATTAGTCTGAGTAAAAGCAAATTAACCTAGATCCATTAAGTAAAACTGAGAATCTATTCTACTTTTACATAATTACAAATTAAAGATGAATATGAATCATTTTACATAATTACAAATTAAAGATGAATATGAACCATTTCAATGATCAAGTTTGATAATTCAATAACTACAGTCCTGAATAATGACATAAATCATCAAAAATGTATTGATATGCTAATAAAAAAGCATAGAGTACAATGTACTAAGCAATTCACATTAGAAGTATTTTCACAAGTAATCAAAATGTTCTATGGCATTATATTTTAACTGACAATGAACATTTTAACAATGGCTATATCTTCTAGAGAGAAGGAATATTAGTTCAATGCTTTGCATAGTATCTGAGAACATATCAGCTATCAATGAATGTTGGATTATGATGAAATTCTCATTACTGACATAACGGGCTTCTATAATCATTTTAGATATCAGAACTAAAATTTTGACTGTTATTATGTACTTCATAAATTTTTAAATGATATAGAGACATTCAGTAATATTCATCATAATTCAAGACAGAAAATGTAGACTCTCCAAATACTATGAAATTTGTTGTTACTGATCACCTAAAATTTTCCCAGATGCCATTATTTATATCAAATTTTCTCAGTAAGCATTATATTTAATTTGCACTATTACTATGTGCTAGACTGCTATGCTTTGGAGCTAAAAAGATGATGAGAATATAATAGGTTATCTTCAGTCTGATAACATAAAAGATTGAGTAACCAATGTTACATTAATCCAAAGCCAGATAAAGACAATATAAGAAAAGTAGAAAGCAATGAGCCTTATAAATATAGATGTACCACTCTTCAATAAAATAGCAGCAAGCAGAATCCAAAAGCATTTTAAAAGGATTATGCACTAAAGACCAAGTGGAATTTACCTCAGGAATGCCAAGGTGGTTCAACATACAATCAGCAATCTGTTTATTAAACACCATATTAAAACAATAAAGGAAAAAAAATGACCATCTCAGTATGCAGAAAAACAATGACAAGATCCAACATACTTTCTTGATAAAAAATACTCAACAAATTAAAAATAGAAAGCAACACCCTCAACCTGATAAGGAACATCTGTACTAACATCATACTATTGGCTAAAGACTAAAACTCTAACATCAGAAACAAAACAAGGATGTCCACTCTGGACATTTCTATTTAACATTGCACTCAAGGTGGTCTAGCAAAAGCATTAAGCAAGAAAAATAAATAAAAGGCATCCTAAGAAATTACTAGATTAGAAATGAAGAAGTGAGGGACGCCGGGGTGGCTCCAGTGGTTGAGGGTCTGCCTTTGGCTCAGGTCGTAGTCCAAGGGTCCTGGAATCGAGTTCCACATCAGGCTCCCCACAGGGTACCTGCTTCTCTCACTGCCTATGTCTGCCTCTCTCTGTGTCTCTCATGAATAAATAAATAAAATCTTAAAAAAAAAAGAAATGAAGTGAAACTATCCCTATTTTCAGAAGATATGGTTTCATATATATTGGAAACTACAGAATTATTAGTTCCAATAAACAATGCACTATTATACCTAATAAACAAGTTCAGCAAAGTTATAAGATAAAAGGTCAACACACAAAAATCATGTGTATTTGTAAAACTTGCAATGAACAATCCAAACATGAAATCAAGAAAAAAATTCCATTTACATTAGCAAACAGTATGTCTCAAAAAAAAAAAACAAACAGTATGTCTCCAAAGACACAAATGCTCAACATCATTAGCTATTATTGAGATTCAAGTTGAAACTGAATGTTACTATGAATTTTTCTTTTATTTTACTTATAGTTAT